ACCGAAGATATTTGAAAATATCTTCAGATATTTTCCATATCCAACCAGATATCTAAATTGAACGTTTCCCAGGGTATTTGGCATTTTTATGCCTTTTCTGACTACTGTGGCTGTTATTTCATGGCGGACCCACAGGTCGAATCCCGATATTATTATTCTGGTTATGTTTAGTTATGTTATTATGCACCTCTAGAAAGGGCACCCGTATGCCAGACATGACGAGAAAAAAATTGAAAAGTCAAAAGAACATATTTTGAAAGGATTAAGAACATTAAAATGGAGTGAAACCATTGAGTTATAATTTAAAACCCGAATTCACATTCAAGAAGAGGTCTTAAGAAGGAACGGTGTTGTACAATAGTTCTACTATTGACAAGAAGATATTTAAAAAAAATTAAAGAATGATAATTTATTTGTATGTAACATATAATAAACACATTGGTTTTATCCAGAAGAAATCCTATAACAATGAAACTGAGTTTCTTATAATATATTGATCAATTATATTACTTGTAATAAATTGATATGTTTGTCAGCTAAGCTCAGTTATTAAGTTATGAGAAGTCTCTAATAGCTTGAAAATGAAAAATACATTCGTAATAATGGTGAAGTGGAAATTATTTTTAAAATCGTGTGGGCACTGTCAGTCATTTCCCGGATGTTCCAACTTGTAAGTGATTATTTCAATCTTCAATGTCAGCCTCAAAGAAACACATGTATTTTCTTAATTTTTTAAAAACAAATATAGCTTTATTGAGAAATTATTAACATTTTTTGATAAAAGAATATTTTTATTATTGTGAAATAACTTTATAATCTGCTTTAATAAAAGATAATGAATAACAGTGATGGTGAAGTTCTGTTAGATATTTATAGAAAATAAAAATAAATTAAGTAATAGCAAAGTAGGCAAAGAATTTGTTAAGCTAATTAAGTTAAATCTTAGGTGAAATTAAATTCATAATTAAATGTTTAAGCTATATTTGATCCACCATCTTTTTATTTAACTTATAACATTGGCAACGTTTCGGCTGTTGTCTCCATTTTAATAATGATGTTCTTTGTTTGTTTATTTTGGCTTTGAGGCGTAAAACCCAACGGTCATCAGCGCCTGTTTGTTCTTTATTTTAGTTCTCTGGAGCTCAGAAACTCCTTAGAAGAGTGGGGGAAAAATTATGTATATTTCTATATTCTGTTAAATAATCGATGAGTTTAAGGAAGTTCATAACTGCTTTTACATTCGATTCGTCCTTATTTAATATAGCTGAAATAACCGGTATAAGAGATAATATATTTAAGCTTGTGGTGTAAGAGGAACATTCTTGAAAAATACGGTTGACATTGAGAGAGCTATTGCAGCATTGGCCTGCTGGAGGTTATTTATCAATAAGATATATATGAGTCAAATTTGTATGACCTATTCTAAACCTATTAAAGGCGAATGCCTTCTCTTCGATTAGAACGGTTTGATGTGGTCCAGTGCTTTACTGATTTTTTGATAAGTTTCAACATGCTTGATGGCCTCTCATTCTACATGAACTATCAGCTGTCTGATATTTCCTTTTTGAAAGGAAGGCTCATTTCTAGAGGTGACAGGATAGCAGTACCCTGGCCTGGAAGAGCGAGGGCTTGTTTGGATGCCACATCTGCAAGCTCATTTCCGACTATTCCCATGTGGAGTAGGAAATCCATATAAAGTAAACAGATTAATAATGATGTTCTTTATGATGTTTAGTCCTTACTAAGGTAGAACAGTTATAACCTAAACATTTTATCAATAATCTTTTGCTAAGTGTAACTGTTGTTTTAATTCTTCGACACACACACAAACATATGTATATGGCGCTATAAAATATGTATATATTTATATCGTCGATATAACATTTGTTTTACACCGTCACTATAATATATGTATCTATGTCTTCGATTTATAAAGATATGAATATTGTATAATGTCACAATATATTTCGTCGATGTAATGTTTTTTTATTAAAATATATAGATGCTTTTGTATATAGTATATTTATATTGTAATGGGTACAATGTATAAACATACGTCGTCACCGCAATATATTTGTCGTAAATTTGGAAAAAAAAATATTATTTACAGTAAGAAAGATAAGGATATTGTTTGTATCCATGTATATGAACAAACAGATGACTACACATTAGAGATGTGTTATATAATATCAAGTTACAAAATTGTGTACAAAATAATTGAAGAGTAAAATGAATGCAGCGAAGAAAAAAATTTAAAAATAAGTTTACTTATTTATTTTATTTTATTTTTTTACTGATCACCCCAACCAATCTTCTGTTCAAATATTAAGTTACATTATTAACTAAATTAAGGTAAAAAGAAACGAAAAATATCCTTTGCACCTCCCTTGTTCCGACACTTTCGGCACCGGATCATGTGTATTAGGGGAGAGAGAAGTGAATAGGATGACTATCAAGAGGACCACAAAATTATTGTATATAAATATATATATATATATATATATATATATATATATATATATATTTATATACAAATATCTCTATTCCTCAGAAGGCGAATTAATTTTTTAATATCTCCCTAACTAATGAATGATAATTTATTCATAGTTACTCAAGAGTACTGCTACTACTAGGTACTCTTTATTTATAAAATAAACATACATACTTTTTATCTCAATGAACGTAGTAGAGGAGGAAAATGAGAGAAAAGTTCGTAGAAACAGGAATTTCAAATCAAATGATGTTTATAAAAAAAAAAGTCATAAACGTCTATGTCTATCTTCCGAATCTCACTTTCATATATTAATTTTTTTTTTACCTCTTTGAATTCTCGAAATTACAACCCTTCAACATTCATAAACATGATGAGCATATTAAAATGAATTGAATAAACCATTATAAATAATTTCGATTAGCTATGGTGCCAATTCAATGGAAATTAAATTTTCATATGCAAATCCTGAATGACAAGACATTACCATAAGTCTTCCAGAACGTTCATTATATCTTCCTGCCTTCTTATTTTTTCAATGAGGAGCTCTTGGTGATTTCACAGCGTTCCAACACAAATGATAGTTTTTACTTGAGGGCCTCGACTTTGGCGAACCGGTAATATATTTTTCAAACTGGTTTTCGGCGAGTGTCACGCGACCCGTTTGGCATCACGAGAACCGTTCGGCAAACTGGTCCTTAGCTTCTCGAGGAGTCAATTATCAGCTATAAATATAGAAGGCCCAGAAATAAGGAAGCAACGAATCGTTTACCTCTCCTGTACTCCATGGCATCTTTATTATCGGCTAACTCCCGCCGATCTCAACCTTTTTTTTTTTTTTTTTGCGTTTCTTTATTGACAAGAAAATTCAGACAGGGGATAATTTTCTAGGATTTGACTAACGACTAAGGTCATGGTAGTACTTAAGGTGCCACAAATAATTACCATGGATCCACTCTATTTTTCAGATAACTGACTAACAACTGCGGTGGGAAATTCAGAAGTAAAGACTCAGGAACAGTTTTTAAGCTAACCCCGTCCTCATAAACGATATTGAAAAAAATATATTTTTTAAAATTTTGTATATTTAGTTAGAATCGAGAAAAGCTCGCAAACTTTTATTTAATTTTTAATTTAATTACAGCTTTATAGATTGTTAAAAACTGAATATTTATATTGTATAAAATATCTGCCATTGTGAGGTATTTCCATCGCCTACATACACGTATTGTTTTAATTTACCATAATTAGTCAGAAACAAGAAATGCTCGGAAAATATTTGTATTTAAATTGTTAAAATGTACAAAAAATATGTGATATTTAAAAGAAATGGTTTTATTATACCACTATATTATATCACGAGTTAGTATTTTTTAAATTTATTTTTATACATTTTATTAATGCATTTCGCATAACAAGATCGGTATAAGTAACATATTCACGTTTTTAGTTAAACTGCCACTTTCGATATTATTCCTTCATAGTATTTTGTGATTTTGAATTTCTCATTTCGTTGATAATTAAAACAAGATTATTCATCATGTAATATACAAGTACCTACAAACCCACACACAAGCATCGTATTGTTGGTAATAAAAATAAGCACCTAATCTGTATATATATATTATCCGACTATAATTCATATCTTAAGTTATAATATATAAAGATCGGAATTATAAAAAAAACATTGTAATATATATATCATCATCATAGTCATACCCTCTTCTAACGCCGTTCGGTGTGAGGGTCCTCCTTATAGAATCTAGCTCAGTTGTCTCTCTCTTATACCGTATTCCAATCTATCCCACGCTTCATGTATGCCTTCTTTACACTGTCCTCCCAGGAGATGCGAGGCCTTCCTTCTTTTCCGTTCCGTCCGGATATATAACTTTTTTTTTTGTTCCAATACACTGAGTCAGACTCTATGAAAATCTTGTTTCAGTTTTATACGGAATGAGAAAATGAAATTAGCACAATCTTATCAAAAACAAGTATAACAAGTGGAAGTTTAGCTAAAAATATGAATATGTCACTTATCATGCAGATATTTTTGAGCAGAATTCATTCATAAAATATATAAAAATATTAACTTATGATATCATTAGAGGTATAATTAAACCACATCTTTTAAATGTGGTATCTTTCCCATCCATGTTAACAAATTAAATAAAAAGAGCATTTCTTGGTTTTAATTAAATATGCTAAATTAAAACAATATGTGAGTGTATACGCGAACCCAAGTGGAAATACTTCATAATGGCAGATATTTTATATAATATAGACAACAAAAATTAAAAATCTATAAAGCTTTAATTATCTGCAACTATACGACGATATGATATTGTGTGCACGATGATCTTATCATTTTTACCGGGCTTCGTTACTTTTATTGCATTGGATAATCCATACGATCAGCTAGAATGCTATACACATCAACTTGGTAAATAATTACATCGCTTTCATTTCTCATCCATAAATATATACATTTAGTTCTTCTCTTGCCTTATAGGTGGTGAGCGGCCCTCGCCTGGGGGAAGTCCTTCAGGAGATGGAATCGCTGGACCAGGAATCGAAGAAACTGCAGGCGGACATGCAACGCCTCCAGGAGAACATCCAGAGGAGGCTGGCAGGTCTGGATGTACCCTTCAATCCGCAGGTCATCGAGCAACCAGCGTCACCTGCTCCACCTCCACCATCTCCGGAACCAGTTGAAGATGTAAAAAGGCAGATACCACCAACCACAACAGAACTTCCAGGTAATTCTATATATTATAATATAGCAGATATATTAGTCATTATTACATATTTATCTACTGTATCATATACAAAATCATGGTCATATCATGGACTTCTGTTTCAATTGCAGATATCCAGGAGGACTTCGTATTGCCTTGTAGCATGGAGACTGGCGAGGAAGGACTGTGTCGACCGCTTGTCAAGTGCCTGTCATTCTACGCCGATGTACCGGAGTTGAGGAAGCAGCCCTGTCCTTTGGGTCAGAACGACCAGCAGGGTGTCTGCTGCCCTCTGAAAACTCCAAATGTGAGCGGTATGTAATAAAAGACGGATTTGGCCTAAAATTTTTGACATCTTACGTGATAGACCTTTCTTGCATAGTAATGGATATATCATGGGTTTGTTGCAAAAAGTCTCTAAATACACTAGTGATGAAGCTAAAGTTTTAATAAAATTTTTGTGAATTTCTGTAATATTTGTCGTCACAGAACTCATTAGGTAAATTCTCTGTCTCCGCCGGCTTCTCTCTTCGCACTTGGAGATAGTCTATACTCATTTATCAGACGCGGATTACGTAAATCTATGTATTGTAGTTACTAGAAAAATACTATTCATGAAGTACATACCTATGTATGATACGTTTTCTTCCTTTAACTTTTCCTTTCTTCCTTTTATTTATGTTCCCCACTCGAATTAATATAGTGGCCTAGATTTTTTCAGGAAATTCTCAGGAAATGAAAATAATATATTGATGAGATAGCAATAAAATTTAAAAAATCATCGGCAATTCTTCACATATAAATTCAAATAAATTATTTTTCTTTTGTTATGGCATATTAACTTTTTTTTTATAAATTCAAAATAGTTATTGCCATGGAAAAATATTTATTTTGTTTATATTAATATCATTAAATTTAAAAATTCATTCTAATGAATTGAGAGAGAGTCTATTTCTTTTAGTTATATACACCCAATGTTTATATTTACATGGATTAAGACCTAGTATATAGTGCCCCCACTATGCCTTCGTCTAGTCTACCTACGGAAGGCAAGGAAACAGGAGGTACCGAAAGGTCGTGAGAGATCCTTTTTCTTCTCGCCATGGAGTCTATCTGGATACCGTCAATCTATGATCGGCTACCAGTTGAATAGAAAGCTCCACCATCTACATAAATTCAGGCCAAGCTATTTTATTAAAATTAAAAAGCTATTTAATTTTATTATTTATTTTTTTTTTTTTTGAGCTTAATAATTCTATTATGATACTTCGTCATTACCGATCTGGTAACATTAACAAAGTCTTAATGTTTCATCACATCTTTACTGCAGAAAATCTCTTCTAATTTTTTTTTTAAAACTCACGAAAATAGACCTTTTTTTGTTATTTTTAATAACATTTATTGGTGCCAAACATCATGCCATCAACATTTTAATTTTTCTCAAAAAGTGTTTAAATTTCTTCTTTTTTCTCTTTTATCATTAATTTATTCTATGAAGAAAATTTTCCTTTTGTTGCTTGTTGTTTCCTTTTTCAGGTTAATATTAATTCTATTTTTATTTTTTGTAATATCTCAATTCAGGATTTAAATGATTTTTTTTCTCTCAATTTATAAATAATAATATTTGTCTTTTTTTTCCTTCTCTATTATTTTTCATCAAATGATTGACACCTTTTGAAAAGAGAATTGAGTCTATGTTGGCTTTATAACATCGCTCGTCCCATCATCTTTATTGGCTAATGTTTAAGAAGCAATTTTCACTGAATGGATATAGCTAAATCTCTCATTATATACATACGCAAGTGAGAATTTCTAGAATGAATGACGGATACTACTTTGTTTCATTTAAAATCCGTATAAATTTTAAGACATGAAAAGTGTAGATTCATTTTTAAAATCATAATAATTATTCCTTTTTATTAGGATATATTTTGATGAAACGTAAATTAATTAAAATTTTAATATAAATGAGCCTGTATAGATTGCTTCTTACGAAATTCAGCGAATAGTATTTATAGAATTATAATCATCAGGTTCATAATTCACATTTATATTTTTTACAAACATCTTCTGAATATAATACAATCGAAAGTTAACCCAAATGTAAAGCACTTTAAGTTTATTTATTTGTCTGTATATCACATTTTAATGTTTCGTAAGTCTACATTGGTTTGAGGGAATTTTTTAAAATGATAGATAGAGATTAGAAATGATTTTAATACTCAATTCTCATTTTTCTAAACTTTCTTTACTGAAGTATATCTTTGTGTTTCACAAAATCAACTGATAAAAATCTTTGTTTGTTGAGGTGGCAACATTTAACATTATTTAGTTTCTTAAATATTGACTTTTTCGCTTTGATCGACATCGACTCACTTCAAAGAAATCGATCATTGTAGTATAGTATATATTAATGAAATTACATAATTATTTGTATGGACAAATGAGCATAAGCCAACGATAATCGATTTTAAATATTTTAATGAATTATTGAAGGAAGTTAGTCGACTGTTCTACATATTCAGTACTTGAATACCGTCAGTGCTCAAACCACGCCCTGATGATTACCCACATATTGAGGTTGAAACGTCGGCACTAATAATAACTTCATAATGACTGCGTCCTGAATATTTATCACCCATTAAATATTTTAAGATATAAAATAGTTAGATAATCGATTCATCACTATTTTTCTACTCCTGACGGTTTCCCTCCGCAAAACTTCCTCTGTAACTACCCTCTTACCCTGATACTCATAATTTATATATATATTGTAATATAATTTAAGTTATTTTACATATATATTTATTAATATTTTTAATAGATATATTCTGGAAAAAAAAAATTCAGAATTTTCGAACCTAAAAAATCATTATACCATCGTATCACTTAAATAAAATAAACGTCATTCACTCTTGAAATTCTAAAAGTCTTTCAGCTAATTCCACGCCTGTTTATAAATACATCTTTTATCGCCTTTCATCGCTTCATATTTATTTACTTATATCAACAGTGTTATTGAAATCTGTTTAGTAATGTCTAATATATTTTTTTTTTTAATTTAATGTAGGAACATTTATTAAAATTGTTGTAGTCATACTATGAGTTTATTTCTACAGATATTCAGATGTTCTTTTTTACACATATTTCACAATTAGATTAAATATATAAATTTGAACTTTAAAATAATAATACAGGCTCTCTCTAAATAGGCTAAAATCTCACTGATTTTTAGTGTTGCCCAAAATTGCGCTTGGTCTTACACTTTGCATGATCAAGACCAAGACCGCGTAACTGTTGCAAGCCTGGTAAAAAATAATATAAAAGTCGTATTTGTGAATAAAAATTAAGGCAAAATAGTTACTAATATTTGACAATTTTAGTTACTATATGTAAAAAAACTGGTGTAACCAATATACTTGCGTTTAACTCTTCCAGTTTTTCTTTCGGACTTGGTTAAGTTTCCCTGTTGGACAAATTACATTAATATTTCTATTTCAATAAGCTAATAGGTAATTGCAAGACTGTTGTGAGACTCTTGCACAAGACCAATACCCACACCATGACCAAGTCGATTCTTGGTCTTGCATTTGGGCAACACTAGTGATTTTCGATAATTCGTACTTATTTTAATAACTGGCGTTAAACATTTCTTAAAAACAACTGTTTTTTCTCCATGGCGAGCAATTAAAAATATATTAAATAGAATGGAGTAGTTAAAGTTACATAAATAAATCTGAAAAGAAGTGATGATAACGATTAGTATTAAGTAAACAGTCTGGAATAAGAGTACTAATGGAGAAGGACCAACAGCTTACAGAAACTGTCCAATCAATATATTCTTATGACATGAATTCAAGGAATTCAAGATAGGAATATGTAGTTCTAATTAATCTATCAGGAGGTCTCTACACAATACTGATTGCCTTTATAGTTATATGGATAGGTAGAATCGAAAAAGATACTTTAGACCTAACTAAAGGAATATCATAATATAAGAAGAGGTGTAGAAGATTGATTCAGGGGAGGGCAAAAATTTACGATGTCTGTAAAGCTTGTGGAAAAAAGAAAAAGATGGTAATATACTAATATGTTTGTTTCATTTATCTTATCTATTATCTTGAACTATCCTGACTAAATACACTCTGTATATATATATATATATATATATATATATATATATATATATATATATAGAGTGTATATATATATATAGTATACTGTATATATATATATATATATATATATATATATATATATATATATATATATATATATATATATATGCCTTCAACAACGATCATTTAACCGATATTGGTCTGATTACTACGGAAGCACTCTTGCTGTAGCCGGTTAACGATGGATGGTTTTCCCTGAGCTCAGACTACCCAACCAATTACCAAGAGGAAGCTAACTGTTATAATTATCTATCTAATTACTCTATCGTCCCAATTAACATCCTTATCGGCTAATACCTCTGACGCATTTATGTTCCTTATAACACTTCTGGAAAGATTTTTTCCTAGAAAATTATTTCTTCATCAAACACAGTCTATAGCACTACAACACTGGCGGACGGGAGGGATCTTTAGGATTGGAGCCTTTCTAAAATAAAATAAAAATATTTGTTTCAGTGAATATTCTAACAATGAGCTTAGTATACTTTTTTTAAATTGAATATTTAATAGTTGACCGTTGACCGTAAAAGGTATACCATCAATCATTTTATCCATCAAGCGAATTTTATCAACTTTAATTTTGTATAGAACTTCTTTGTCGATGCGATGGTTAGTTTTCCTGATACAAGCCCGAAAAAGGGGAAATTCTAGGCGCTCTCCCACATCTGGTCCACGACCTAGGAGTGGGGACTTTTAGTATGATTTCCTACTTACTAGTCCAAACATTCTAAATTCAAAAATTGTGTCGCCGCCATTTCCTCCTTGATCATTCATTGACTAATAAGAAACAGACCGTCTATGAAACTGCGGATTTGAAAAAAAAAATCTTAAATAATTGCCAAATTTTATAATCCATAAATTATATATAACAACATGTATGTTCTAAATATATTTTGCAAATGTACGTCTATTTTATGCATCATTATTATTCTTAGGTGACATGTTCCAAAATAAAAGTTACCTTCATTCATGCATGCATCATGGAATATGTCCTATTCGACATTCAACTTAATCGATAGTTTGGGATATGATAGCCCGCAATAGCGATGTCTTGATTTGAGTCTGATGATTGCCAAAATCATCCTAACTCCAATACGAATTAGGACAAGGAAGCTCTGTTGTTCATGTTAAGTGTA